ATAAACAAATGTGTGTGTGTGTGTGTATATATATATATATATATATATATATATACATACATACATTCATATATATGATGATGTTGTTGATGATGATGGTGATGATGATGATCAACAACATCTACAACATCTACAACATCAACAACAACAACATCAATAACATCAACAACAACAACATCTACAACAACAACATTAATAACATCAACAACAACAACATCAATAACATCAACAACAACAACAACATCTACAACATCAACAACAACAACATCAATAACATCAACAACAACAACATCTACAACATCAACAACAACAACAACATCTACAACATCAACAACATGACCATTTCCCGCTCTCTGCACACTCACACACAAACACGTACACACACAATCCTGCACAACACAGAAACAACGTGTTCAACAACAAACAACGGACGGGCAAACTTTTTACCTGCTCTTCATAACTTTATGAATAATTATTAGAAGACAAGATGACCATAAAAATTTATTGAAATAATTATCTAATATAATTCTCCTTAACAGAAATATATAATAATTTTTCAGTTTTTACAACAACCCACGCACACAACAACACACACGCACACAACAACACACACACACACAACAACATAACGACCAACCTCAACAAATACAAGCATCTTACATTAAACCTTCAAGTGATCCACTCTTGATTAAAATTGATTCAAAGTTGCATCAAAGTTATCAGCTGGAGTAATAATCAATTGTTTTATTTAATGAAATATACCCTTAACATAATAATAGATTTAAATTTTATAAAGTTTGTAGGGACAGAAACGACGAAATGTAATCAACATTGGAACCTGAACGCATAAGTCACTACACCACACCACATCACACCACACCACGCTACACCACAACACACCACACTCCAACACCACACCATGCCACGTCACACCACACCCCACCACATCACGCCACACCACGCCACACTACACCACATCACACCACACCAGACCACACATCAACTCTCGCAAATGTTTGAAAAATTTCTTAGTGATGTTTAAAATTTAATTTGAAATAAAACTCCTTTGAGTAGTTTACTATCAAACAAATTGCTAACACATACACGTTCAGTGCAATTGTTACAATATAAATTAATGTTAACATGGGGTTCCAGGTTTTAAATGGTGTGATGTTGTGTTGTTGCGGGTCTGCCAACATTAATGTATCAATCATCACTTATGACGGCATTATTCTATTTTATTGATTTTAATTTGCAACTCAAGTTTTCAAAACCTTCCTCATTTCGTAGTTGTTGTCGTTGTTGTAAGTTGCTGTGTACTGTTTCGTTGCATTGAATAATATACATATATTGATACATTGATACTGATACATTGAGTGTTGTTGTGTAGTATTATATGTTATTATATTTCATTTTATATTATTAATTACGTGTTATTTTGAATTATGTATCGTTGTATGCCCAATAATCTGCAACTTAGGTTTTCCTAAGCCTTCCTCATTGCGCAATCATTAATGTTGGTGGATGAATTTTAATTGCTGGTTTGTTGGCTGGATGGTTGGCTGGTTGGTCGGCTGGTTTGTTGGTTGATTTGTTGGTTGGTTTGTTGGTTGGTTTGTTGGTTGGTTGGTTTGTTTGTTTGCTGGTTGGTAGGTTAATTGGTTAGCTGGATGATTGGTTGGTTTGTTAATTGGTTGGTTGATTGGTTGGTTGATTGGTTGGTTGGCTGGTTTGTTGGTTGATTGGTTGGTTGATTGGTTGGTTGGTTGTTTGGTTAACAATATACATATACTGTTTGAGCAGAGGCAGCTGTCCACCACATCGCACACAACAACACACCAACACAACAACACATCGTACACAACAACACGACGTACACAACAACACATCGTACACAACAACACAACGTCTCGTGGAACACAACGGAAGGATTTATTTTAAACTCTCCAATTAGATCATCAAAGAAAGTTGTGTTGCTATGACGACATGATGATGATGATGATAACGATGATGATGATGATGATGATGAAGATGACGATGATGATTGCGATGATGAAGATGACGATGATGATGGTGACGATGTTGTTGTTGTTGAGGATGATGATGTTGATGATGACGATGATGTTGTTGATGTTGTTGTTGGTGATGATGTTGATGGCTGGAATGAGGAAAGGGTAAAGTCGAACGACACCACAAATGGAACAAAACAAAGATGCAGACGAGTAAAAGTTAATCGAAACATCAAAGGGCAACAAATCAATCAACCAATTAAAGAATGGTTGTAATGCTCCAGAGGTTCCTTCCTTTCATTATCAACTTCCGACAACAACATCAACAACATCGACAACACAAAAAACATCAACAACTTCAATACAACATTGCAACATCAACAAAACCGACAACATCAACAACATCAACAAAACCGTCAACATCAACAACATCAACAA